AGTGGATATCGGCAAAGAATGGATCTCAAAGGCACATCAGGACATGGGCAAGCAAGTGACGAGTGATCCATTGGAGAAGAACAAGACGAGGAACACTTCCCGGACGTGGTGGGTGGCCCTTGAAACATTGAGAGAAATGGAGGACTGCTGGAAGAAGTTGGACAGTGGAGTAGCTCGCAAGCGACGCAATTGGGCCACCCAGCAAAAGGCCGAGGTTAATAAAATAGAAAGAGGTCCTGGCAGAGTTTGTTGAAGGATCATTTTGAAGAAGCAATGAGGACACCCTCATCAGCACCACCATTAATGGCGAATCCCTTCGTTAGAACTGCAGGACAATTAATGTTCACCTGGAGTCTGGTGGGAATAGAGTTGGAAACACTGACTTCGTATGACAGGCTGAAGTTGGGAAGCAAGAAGATAGATGTGTATCAGGCACTGATGCAACACGTAGCCAGGGACAATTCAGGCTTGAGCCTGGCTAGAAGAAAGGATGCCACGTGTTTCTTGAGATGGATAATGTCGATGATGTCTGATAGCACCATCCTGGCATGCCAACAGAGAGCAAGCGGAAGTAAAACCATGGAAAAAAGAGTCTCAACGATCATCTTGAACTTATATCAGAGTACAGGAATAGAAAAGGAGGATGGTTCCAGACAATCCCTAGAGAACCACAGAAAGCTAGACGAGGTGCGGAGGTTTTATAATAAGAAGTTCGAAGAAGAACATGATGTTCATCGTAACCTGGCCTCGTCAGAGCAGTACTCGAGACTCAGCGAGAAGGGGGAATACCAATATGTGTCGGGAGTAATGGGAATAGCCTACAACCCCTTCTTAGACTCGGAAACTGGAGGCGCCCACAGAAACCATGAGGTAGCGGAGCTACTGAAGTTTTGGACAGAAAGAATAATGGAAATAGACGCGGTGGAAAAAGAGGGGCCGAGCTTGGGCCTGATTCTTGAGAAAACACCAGAGGTGGTAAGCATACCGCGCTCGAACAAGAGAGTTGAAGTGAACATGGGCGATGGAAATGGCTTGTTAACCACGAACTTGGGAGTGGTATGGAAGCTATTAAGACCCTCCTGGTGTCCACATCCCCACGCGAGTCTGATCGAGGAAACCACCGAGCGAGTGAGGTTAGCTCCAACGGAAGATGAAGATCTGGCAAAGTTGAGTGTGCTGCATAAGCTAATCTCACCTCAGATGCAAGAGCCAAGCGAAAAGACGAACAATCCCGGGTCTGCGAAGAAATTGGAGCCGGGTAGTTGTCTGGATTCGACGTGTGGAAACGGAGAGCACACCTGCGATGGACGGTCATGCGTCAGAATACTGTCCTTTCAAAAAGAAGACCTGGTCACTTGGTTCGAAGACATCACGGAAAGGGAGAGAAGTGAAGTGCAAATAGTAGCGGAGTGTTACGCGAGAACCACGGTGAATATAGCGACGGCTCTCGGATTCTTCTCGAGAATGTGTAGTTTGCAGTCATTGGAAAGACTAGAGTCTGAACACCATTGGGTGACGGCGTTGAGCGTAGAATCATGGCCTGGGGTGTTGCAGGTGACTCAAAAACACATCCGGAGCTGGAAAGTTGGTCTTGAGGCAGAAATGGGGTTTCCCATGAGCGAAGCTTATGGCCTGCCATTGAACGCAAAATCCCTGATAGGGTCAATGATGGCCAACTTGTGCGGAAGTCACTATCCACTGCACATGGCGATGGTGGAAGCATCCAGCCAGAGAGTACTGGTGGACAAGGCCTTCTCAGTGCCCAAGTGCGTGAGGTTGGCTAGGATATCGCATCACTCGCACAAGTTGTTGAGAAAAATCAGAGGGACAGTACCAAAAGAATTGAGAGATGACTTGAGTGAAATCTGGGGAGAAGAACTTTTGAAGTTGGAGAGAGAGAACACAAGCGATCACGAGAGACAAAACGTGATCGGAAAACCTGTGGGAAGTGCTCCAAACCTGGAAGATAACGACACGATGCATGAGAAAATGATGGAGCTTGAGCCTCTCTGGGAAGCCTCGGGGGAGCTTAACCTCAGGAGCATTGAGATCACCCATGGAGAATGCCCATGCCACTGTTTGGCGCAAACGGTGTGGTATCCAGATCACAAGAACCTTTGCCTGGTATGGGATATGGAAGAAATCCGGTCGATCGGACTACCGGATCACCGACAGAAGGTGACGATCTTGGTAGTGAGTACGATGTTGGCTCTGAGATGGATAGAAGAGAATATAACGAAGTATCGGGAAGCGGGGACGCCAACGGCTGAGTCAATATACGCGATAGACTACAGTAGGAGACTCGAGATGTTTGAGACTGCGTGCAAGGTATTCGCCATACCAACGGAAGTCAGACATGTCTGGAGCCGTTTGAGGTACTTCCCATGGTTTCGGGCGACGCTGACGTCCTGGTTGTACATGACAACGAAAGATCACATGAGAAAACATCAAAAGGAGTATCGACAGTTCCAGGCCGAGATTGGGCCGGAAGCTTTCAAGAGACCCCTGTTAACCCATCGTAATGCGATCACGACAGGATGGAAGAGAGTGGGTAAAATGTCTAGAGACAATACCAAAGCGAGGGAATCGATACTAGAGGAGGACCTGGCGAAGAACGTGAGCTTGAGCCTGCACAATTCCTTTTGTTTGAACCGGGAATCAAGGGTGAAGGCACTACCCAACCAAGCAAAGAGGTTGCAAGAGCAAAGAGAATGGATGCGATCCTACGAGCAGCTGAAGGCTTGGGAGGAGATTGTGATTAGCTCCGATGATGAAGAGGAACTGTTGAGACAGTTTGCCGTATCTAGTACCTCAGGGTGCAGTACCTCCAAGGCGAAGAGTGCGAGATGAGCAGGTGGCTCGAATGGATCTTGAGTCTTGAGAGGGAAAGGGGGCTTGAGCGTGGATCCAGGTGAAACCTGGGTTCACGAAAAAGAAATTTTAACAAAACAAGATATTGTTATTAATATGCTATATCTATTGTCAAACGAAAATGCTGCATGACAATTTCCTAATTGAATGGGACAAAAGAAATTTTAAATTGGCTTGAAAAGCGAGAATTCAAGGGTGCAGGTGTGTGCAGATTTTGATTGCTGTTTAGCGATAATGTGAAAATTCTACATGGCTGTGAGTTTTGGGGTGTAGATAAGCTTAAGTCTGCTGCAAACTTCTGTAAATGACCACTGGCACTGTATCTTGAGTAACACTCGGTTTTCTGGGACTCACTGACAGAAGACAGCACGCGATGAGGACATCGATCTCGAGTCCGGGGAGTATGTGCCAGTCGGTCATATTTGGAAGTTTGACCTTGAGAGAAGCAAAAAGCACTTGATTTTGGAGTGAAATTTAATTTTTCAAAATTTCGAATGGAACCTGTCATGCACGATTTTCTCGCGATAACTGAAAATCAGAAAAGAGAAGTCAGAACGATCGAGTGACAATCGCGGGAAAGTTGCTAGAAAAATCAGTGGGAAATTGCTATTCGCAATTTCAGTAGCAATAATAATCGAGAGTAGAGCTGTCTCATCTAAAACAGAGACGAGCGCATTCCCACGAACTGGATTGTTGTGATTGGAGTACTATTATTAACTGGACCAGAGTGAACCTTCGGTGGAAAGTTGGACAGCTAGAGTGTCCCAATGGTTCATGAGAATTTACAGTCTAGAGTAAAAACTTGTTCTTGTTATTAAAACTGACTAACATTAAACTCATTTTAGTTACTTTATTGATTCTTGAGTTGCTCACCGACTTATTTACTTCCTGGTTCTTGAGCGTGCTACAATGTGAGTCGTAATTTAAATTTCTAGAGTGTGTTTTATAATTGTTATGTTGAGGTAAGGCGAGTTTTAGGTTGATCCATCTGAAATGGATCAAAGTTCCACTGTCTAATAAAAAGTAACTTAACGGATTGTTCCGACCCGGTTTTTAACGGCGTTCATGTATTTTGGGTATCTAGAGACCTAAGTATGGGGACGTTTCTAATTCTAGAGTGGGGGGATATTTTAGTAGTAGCCTTTAAGCTGTAACGGGTCGTAGTCTCATGTCACAAGCGAACCGAATTGGCTCCGACTGATTTGAGGTACAAAAACACAAGAGATAGTGTCCCTGACTCTTGAGCCAATGGTTATAGGGCCTATTTTTCTTAAGCCTCATGTGTGACTGCAGTAGACGAATGTTACAAAAATTAGTACCCCTCCGGATTGGCAAAATTGGGACCCCTCCGGATGGTAAAATTGGGTTATATGTCAGTATTTAGACAACCGCGTATTCAGACTGGTCAGTATTTAGACAAATACTTTCAACCAATCAGAATCGAGACAAAGAAGAAGCTAATAAATATTTATTATTTATTTTGGATTATTTATGTCTTTTCTCGATTCTGATTGGTTCATACAGTATTTGTCTAAATACTGACGAGTATGAATACGCGGCTGTCTAAATACTGGCTGCACTCCGTAAAAATTGGGACCCTTTTTTTCTGATCTCTCTCCTAAAATGGCCGTTTTCGACGTTTCTCGGAAGTTTGACGTCACAAATCGAAATACACGTCACAAATCGAAATTTTAAAAATACCAGAATATCCCGACTTTCACAGTTTGTCTAATCGTTCAAATAACGTCGCTAAACTGCTAAAACTGCCAATTCTCAAGGTCAGCGGCTAATAATTGGAAATGGCCTTTTTTGTCAATTCTGGTCGAATGTCACAGTCAGTTTGATTAGAATCTGTTGGAGAACGAAATATCTCCAAAAACGAAATTTGTTGGAGAACGAAATATCTCCAAAAACGAAATTTCCAATAAATCGTTTTAAAGATAATGTAAGTTTCTGAGATACTCAAAAATTGCAATATTATTCATTTTGATTGTAAAACTCTTTTTAACTGTAAATACTTTGACTTTTAGTTGTATATACCTGATGATGCTAGTTAAAGCGAAAACGTTCGTATTTTGATTAAAATTTTTTTGACTTATAGCTATTTTGAAGTTAATCCGAGCGTACTTTTGAATCTTGTCATAACCACTTTTAGACGAAAATGATTTCCTCGACTCGAAAAGTGATCTTGACATGCTCTGGCAGAGGCACACTCGGCGTAGCAAGAAACATGGCATGGTGGAGCCACCTAGAAATGGCACCACTTGATCCAATCGTGGGGTTGACTGAATTGTTCAAAGAGGATAGCAACCCGCAAAAAACCAATTTGGGAGTAGGTGCATACCGGGATGAAAATGGAAAACCATGGGTTCTTCCGTCTGTTAAAACTGCCGAAAAGAAAGTTATGGATGCCCAATTAGACAAAGAATATCTAGGCATTGTTGGTGACCAGGAATTCAACAAGTTGTCTATCAAACTTGCCTTGGGTGCTGACAATCCTGCGCTTGAAAGAACCACGACGGTCCAAGCCTTATCAGGAACTGGTGCACTCCGAGTGTCAGCAAATTTTCTGAAAAAATTCAACCCTAAGGCCATTTGGCTACCTGTTCCTAGTTGGGGAAACCACACTCCAATTTTCGGCCACGCAGGATTGGAAGTTAAAGGTTACCGATATTACAACGAGAAGACTATTGGTTTGGATGTTTCTGGAATGCTTGACGCAATTTCCAAGATCCCAGAAGGAGATACCATTCTGCTCCATCCCTCCGCGCATAACCCCACCGGAGTTGATCCTTCGAAGGAAGAATGGCAACAGATTGAAGAAGTGGTCGCAGCCCGAAAACTGTTCCCACTTTTTGACATGGCATATCAAGTATGTCTTGATTCCACCAATTCGTAAACTGGCGTTATTTGAAAAACTTATTGGTTTACATATTCATTTAGGGTTTTGCGAGTGGAGACATTGACCGTGATGCCTTCCCTGTTCGACACTTTGTTGAGAAAGGACACTCGGTAGCGCTCACTCAAAGCTACTCCAAAAACATGGGTTTGTATGGCCTCCGTGTTGGTGCTCTGAGCTTCGTATGTGAAAGTGCAGAGGAAGCCAAACGAGTAGAATCTCAGGTAAGTGTTGTGGTTTCTTTGTGAAAACTTAAATGATAGCTTAGTCTTGAGCATTTGAGTCATCCAGAAATCAGGCGATTTTGATAATTTTGAACACCAATTTGTTCAGGTGAAAATCATCATCAGACCAATGTATAGTATGCCTCCCAGTCATGGTGTCCGAATTGCGAAGACTATCATGAGTGATCCCTCTCTCAGGTCAGAATGGACGGGAGATGTGAAGACGATGGCCAACCGCATCATTGGCATGCGACACGCGCTCGTCGATGGTCTCAAGAAGCAAGGTAGCAGCCGCGATTGGTCTCACATCACAAATCAGATCGGAATGTTCTGTTTTACAGGTCTTAATCCAGACCAAGTGCTGAAAATGCGAGAGGACTATTCGATCTATATGACCAAAGATGGTCGTGTATCGGTGGCAGGGTTGACACCCAAAAATGTAGAATATGTAGCACAAGCTCTTCACAATGTATCGAAATGAATGAAGGGTTATCCTTGACATGAATCTGAACTAACAGAACTTGATTGTAATCTGATGTCATATGAGTGTAATGGAGCGCTGAGAAGATATGATCATTTTATACTGAAATATACCAAATTATTCTCAAGTGATTGCTGTACCTTGATGCAGATAGAAGATGACTTGATGTCGCTAGAGCTGAGTCTGTCATGAATATTGATATAAAATGGCAGTTTTAAAGTTTTATTTGAAGTGATTAACGCTGGTGTTAATTTAATAATTAGTTCTACTGTCTATTTTTCAACTCAAGTCTATTTCTTCATATCATGATCAAACTAAATAGATAAAAGTCTAATGGCTTCTTGAATTTGAATACTAGATTTTTTATCCGTTGAGGTTGCAACATAGTTTAATTTCAAATAGACCCGATTTGCAAGATTTGTGGCTATGCAAAAAATTTCTTCCTTTTCAGAATTCATAATGAATAAAGAATCCAGTTCGACCGCAGTTAGTCGGTTTTACTCGGAACTCATGACTACTTTTCTTAGAGATCCTAAGTCTTGTAACATCATTGCAAAACCTCCTCAGGGAAGCCTGATTGAAGCAGACCTGAAGAGTATATGTGAACAATCATTGAGAGATGCGCTATATTCTAACGTAAAAATGAAGAATCTTGGATTATCCGGATGTCTGGGAGTTATCGAGGCCTCGATCCAGCTTGTCAACTTGAACCAATGCGCACACAATTTACCTTTTGTCCTGCTAGAAGACATGTTTGAATGTATAACAGTATCTGAGTGTGAAAATGCATTCAGTTTTGTTGAAATTAAGATAGACAGTGAGTTTAAATGCTATATATAACACTTTTTTCGTAATAGTTACTGAACCCATTACTTGAATCGTAATCGACGATCAGATGTGTAAAAAGAACTTTATTTCCTTGTTTAGCGTGGAGAAGCGAAAGTATGTTATCTGCTGGGAAGAACTATTTACTACGAATGTGCAACAATCTGTTGCGACGGCTTTCGACATTCAGAAATACAGTTCTGTGTGGGCGAATCCAGCTATTCCTGGCACAACTTTTACCCCTGGACGAGAAAAGTGCTCTCAATATCATGGGCGCATTTAACTTGGATAATGTCACGAGTTTCGCGACGGACCCGGAAGTTAACGAGGAAACTTTCGCACATATCTTGAATGACTCGACGTAATTATGCACTTTTTCTTGGCCTTTTATTCCTACATTAGTAACTAAAAAATCTGACGCTGAAATTCATTATTGGGTTCCTTACTGTCTTAGGAATAATGATTCAATGGACACTGACGCTTCAACAAAAGCTAAAGACCGTGCAATTGACTACAATCTCTACAAGAAGTTCTGGTCGCTTCAAGACTATTTCCGAAACCCCAACCAGTGCTACGACAAACAGAAATGGGCGGCATTCACAACCAATGCCTCAACTGTTCTGAAGATATTTGCACAGCATAAGTTGGAAAATGTGGCCATGCGAACTGTGACGGGTGGACCAGACTCGGATGAAGAAAACGTGTACTTCCCTAAAAATCTCACCAGGTTAGCGAGCACTAGTCAAACTTGCGAGATACAAATAAGTAGTTGTCAGGAAAGGGTGTTTTTTTGTAAACGCTTTTTAAATGTTTGCTTGTCAATTGAACCAGTTAAATGTACATTTCATTTTGCGACCTGATTACACTAGAGAAGCGTATTATACTATTACGAAAAAAAATCTTTTTCTCAATCCTAAGTCGCAAATAAAAGCGCTCATTTGGTGACACTTTGGTATTTTTCAATTTCATGATATTTACGCAAGAAAAGCTTGTATTATAGTATGAACTATCTTTTTTTTCCAGCCCAAGTCGCAAATATTGTTGCGGTGCAAATGTTGCGACAAAATGTGTTCATTTTGATCAATAACCAGCTATTAAGTACAGCCAATGCTAAGGGTATTAACACAGACTATTATATTACAAATAGCTTTTTAGCTTCAAAGTATCTTGGATCTGTAACGTAGAGGTAGGGAAGGAAAGCCACATCAAAATAAGAGGGATCGAACCTGGGCAGGGACGGATGTTCTTGATGAACTTCTTATACTAGTCAAAATGCGTCCGCTCTGTAAATTGAGGCATGTTAGTTGATATATATTTTTTCAAATTGACTGGTACTGCATCATAATTGGCTTGCGTCACTCCGCAATCATGCACACTCATAATTGGCGTGCGTCATTTAAGAAATTTTGTAGACTTCTAGCATTATCGGTCATATTTTTGCTTGTGTATGCGAAGTGCAATTTCGCCTCTGTTTTAAGCTTTTTTAAGCATAAACAATTTTACTGCATATGTTGCTGCTTTATTTTTGGCTAGTGTTATGTCTTGTTTGAAAAAAAAAACATGTATTATGAAAATGTATGGGATTTGTTTTTTTTTCGGGTCTTTGGAAAGTTTTAGCTTTTTGTGCAGAAATTTCATTTTTCTCAAAAACTACTGTACCGATTTTCAAAAAATGCTACCAATGGAAAACCGGCTGGTCTTCTATGCGCCCGCTAATTTACCTCACGTTCTACGTCCTTCGAAAGTTTCCGTAGGCGATTTAGTTTTTGTTTTTCAGTCTATTTTGAACAAATGAATTCGACTGCATGTTTAGTGATTTTCAGCAGTAAACTCGAATTCTAGCATACTACGAGCAATGATTGTAATGATAACTCTTATAAAAGGTTTTGGTTGTTGTTGTTGTAGCTAGGTATATAGGTCTTGGTGATTTTTTTTCAGGAAAGTCTTAAAATTTGTTCAGGCTCAGTTTCAATTTATCGCGGTTTGATTTTTGATTATTTTTTAAGTTTTGTTCATTTCTTTTGTTAAAATAAAGGCAAACTCCACTATCGACCAGTAAAAGTATAAAGGTCACGAAAATTGTGATCGATTTCATATTCTAATTTAGCTAAGTATATAGGTCTTGGTGATTTTTTTTTCAGGAAAAAGTTTACAATTTTGTTCAGGCTCCAATTTCTTGTTTCGCGATTTGATTTTTTGGTTGATATGTAAGTTCAGTTCGTTTCTTATGTTAAAATAAAGGCAAACTCAACTATCGAACATTAAAAGTAAAAAGGTCACAAAAAACGTGATCGATTTCTAATTTCGAAAATGGAATTGATTTATCAGATTTCCCACAGAAACACAAATTTTACCTATTGATCCAGTTTCCTCAAATTGGTTTATTTTTATCAAAAAACCTTAATCGTAAGTTAATCGTGAACTTCGAAGTTCTTGAAGGGCATACGTTTTTTGTTCAAAATTCGAAAGTTGAAGTTTTTTTGAAAAACAAAAAGTCAGTTTTTTTTCTGTTTCATTGCGTTCATTACTTTTTTCCAACTGTCAGTTGGCTACGTTTATTGAAATTCATTAATTTCATTCGTTTATTGAATTTCATTAATTGAAATTCTTTTCATTAAGCTAGGAAATGTAGTTCAAGATTTTTTTACTTGAGGGTTGAGCCTAAGTTAGTTTATAGTGCTCCTGGCTTCTTGAAATTCAAAGGCAGCTTTTATTCACAGTTGGGCCAGCAAGTCTCTTGTAATCGGGACCTAGACTTCCCCGGTAAACGACTTTTCTTACAAATCTGAAGTTGAAATTAAAGTTACTTTTAGTGAGCCTCAGAAATTTCGAGACTCCTTCCCAATCGGCCTAGAGGTAACGAAGGTGTTTCTACACCCTCAGGTTCAAGTCCCGGCGGGACTTTAGTTTGTCCGCCCTTTGAAGTATTGGACTTTTTCAAAATCAGATAGTTTTTGTTGCAAAAGTTCAGTTTTTAATACTTAATTGCTCAAAACTTTTTTTATGACATTAATTTTTATGGTATTTTTTGTTTCGGCCTATTTAGCGTCTAACCACGCATTGTCGGCTCAGTGGCCGGTCGGCAAAATTTACAAACTTTTTTGTCCTGTTTTTTTTCTTGACTGTTTTTCCCAATTTTTCGATTTTGTTATTTCCGACTGATTTTCTATCTATTCGCTATCTTGCAATGATATGCTTGCTTTGTATCGCAAGTGTGCAGTGCTCCGTTTCGCCTCTGTGTTTTTCTCTTTTTTTGTCAGCTTCAAAACATTTCCATGAAATTACAATTTTTTTGTAAGTTGGTTGAAAATTTGTAGTTCGAGTTTCTAGTTCAGCATTTTGTTAAATAGATCACAATCATTTGTTGGCTTGAGTTATAATAAATTCGAATCCAGCGTCTTATTCTGCGCACTTGGAATGGAGGTAACGTCCATGTCTGGCGTTACTATACTTGATTTTAAGTTTGTCACTTAGAGCTTATTTGGGTGTGATTTTGGAGAAAGAAGGGGATGAAGGCGAGCTTGGAAAAAACTGCGAGTGCTTTTATGACTAATAAAAAGCAATTTGATTGGGTGTCCATACTAATTCAACTTTCATGGTCTACCGTGTAATGTAGTCTATCCATTTTTTTCTCGAAACAAGCATTTTTCTCATAATTTTTCGAAATCTAAATTTTGACGCAAAGAACTTGTAGTCCTGTTGTTGTTTTTAGTCCGACGCAAAGAGCTTCGATTTGGTTTCACGACAGGCCCCTTGTGCTTTTTAAAAAACCAAAATTGGGGATGGGGGACCGAATTTAAGCCGTAGATAGTTCAGACTCTTCGAGTTAATCGAAACATGAACCAAAATTATGATAATATCGATATGATAAAAGGAGATAACTCACACCTGTAAGGGTTTTAGCTTTAAACAAGGCAAAAATATTTTTGGGGTTGTTAATTTGGTAAAAGTTATCAAGGTGCTTTTGATTAGTTACAACTACTATCTTGATAATCACGTACAGAGTTGGCGACGAGGTGTCTATAGTGACGACGTTTATTACGAAACCCGAGCTCGTGTTTTTTTTCTATCTGATTGTTCAACAAAACTAGACTTTTTGAATTGAAAGCTGGTTTAAAAAATTATAAGACAGAATTGTTTGTGGAACTTCAAGATAGAGGTAGTTGAGTCGTTAAAAGATGTCCCTTAGCATTGCTTCGGGGCTTTAGTCCTCTGAGTCCACGAACTTTGAAGTCTCTCTGATTAGCTCCGTGGCCGTTCCCACTTAGAGACGGGAGTGTCAGCGTGTATCCATTGGGTTCGGGTGTCTGGTACCCGATGTTGGGTTTGAATGCTCCGCCTGTTTTGGGCCTGTTGGGTTCGTCCAGTCGCCAAGCGCGTCTCATCATGAGGTCGAAGTAGGCGTCGTTGTCAACTGACGCACTAATGCCTGAAAAATCATTTTTGGAAACATAAAGTTTGTTCAAGAAAAGTCTGTTCAAGCAAAATCATGATTTTTTTTAACAAAAGAATCAACTCGCAAGAAATGCAATTAAGCCAAATAAAAGTGCGTTATTAGATGCTGAGCATGTTTATGATGTTGTTCACATATGTCTTCGGAAAGTGAAGCTTAAATGTTTGTGGATTGAAGGTTACAATTGTTTCCCAGGTCTCACTGTACTTTTTAAGTTATCACTGAGGATGGAGTAAATATGTCCATAATTGTCTTGTCTGCCAGTTACCTGCGTAGTAGCTGATGAACTCCTCCTTCGTGACAGTGCCGTCTCGGTTGTCGGGGGAGTCGAACTTGTCCAGGAACTCCCTCAGCAACTCATCCTCCCCCATCTCACCCGTCTTGTACCTGTCATCCTGCGTGACGTCATAAACACCCTGCAACGAAAAAAGTTCACAGGTCATTGATCTATTGTATTGGTTGGAAAAGATGAAACATAGTTAGCTCTGAATATCGGAGAGCAAACGTTGCCGTTTCTTTATTCCAGTTTTTCAGTGGGTATACCACGAATTAATATGTTTTAGAGTTACAGTTAAAGGACAAAATTAAAAGGTACTTCTTAAACCCTTGGTTCGTTAGTTTTTTTTGCGTTCTTTTTTGCAACAAGTTTTGATTTTCCGATTTTTCTACAAAATACGAGAAAGTAACCTTTTGCCTCAAAAATGGCGAATGTTGGCGCGATCAGAAAAATTCAGAATGGAAAAAAAAATCAAATAGTGGCAAAGGTTGAGATTAAAATCTAATATGAACGAATTTATTGTAGTTGCTGTAAACCTGACAGGTAGCGTTGCATTTTAAGGGGTGTGTTCTTCAAGCTGATTTTTAACAGATCCCTCATGTACTAGATAATAGGAAATAGTTGTATGAAATAATTTATTTGCCATGCTCTTTACCTTTAAATCGTCTATTTCGATAGTGCCGTTGTCGTTCTGGTCTAGTTTTTTGAAAGCCTTCTCGACTAAGACTATTCTCTTTTTGTTGAGTGTATTGCCTCTGATTTTGACCAAGAATTCGTCGAAGTTGAGGCTACCACTACCATCTTTATCTATGGCCTTGAAAGCCGCTTCTAGATCTTGTTTGCCAAGAGTCAACCCAATGTCTCTCACACCTGAAATGACCTCAGGAATTCGAATTAGTAATCACGTTTTGCAAAGGAGTAATAATAACTCGAATAAGTGAAAGATGAAACGATCATTTGACTATGAGTTCAAACAAAATAGTTTGTTCAAGTAAAGCATGCTTAATATAGTATCGAATAAGAAGCAAAACACGATATTTAATCCTTTGAATTGGCTTTTTGACGAACTTTCTAGTATTTTTAGGCTCTCTTTGAAAAGAATTGCCTTTTTTGTAGAAGAAAATGCAATGAAAAAATGGTATTTCAGTTAGAAGATCTCGAGATGTGCCTGTTTTATATTTGCCCCGAATATAAGGCACAGTTGCACGTAAAATATGTTCGGAAGTACCTTTGCAGAATTCTTTGTAGTCTAATTGCTGGTCCCCTGAATCATCGAAGTTGCGGAACACTCTTCCCAGGTCTCGGATCCCTGCAGCTCCTCTGCTTAGACACTGCCATCTGATCTTGTCTATGGGGTCCCTCGCTTTCTTTACCTCCTCTAGTGCTTTTTTCTTCAGCTCAGCCTCGTGGCGAGCAGTTGCCGCCATTTAAACCGTTCTTCAGTTGAAATATAAATCTTTATTTGAAAAGAGACAAACGGTGATTTTGAAAAAATAGTATATAGCGTAAATATGAGTTGTGATTAAAGAAAATCGTTGGCTGTATTTTGCAAAACAGCGTTTTTTGCGTGGTATACTGTATATTGAATGTATTACTATAATCTTATGCGCTGCGTTTAAGCGTATTTTTGGACTGTTGAATTATTCAAACACGTGCAGGTGGTTTGTGATAAAGCTATATAGCTCTAATTGATGGTAGGAAAAAATTCAAGGACACACCAAAAAAACTTCGCAGACAAAAAATAGCTGTTTCTATAGTCTTGCTCCTTGACCACACCATTCTATAGTCCTGCGTTCGAATTTTTTCCGTGCCCCCATCGACGGTGATATTTCTTCCACTCCTACCCTAAATCTGAGTACTGAAAAAATGTCATTTTATGGTTTCGGCAGAGAGTTAAAAACTGAAATGGCGGCTCGTTGACAAAAGTTTGATAGGGGAAATGGTAAAAAGATTGAAGAAAAACTCATTGTGGAAATAAGTTCGCTATTGTCGCGAATGCGTTATAAATTTTTTTGCAATCAATTTATTTTAAATTGTTTGAATGAATTCCTGATTATTTTAGCGAGAAGCTGTTCGACCTGCAGTTGGGAGACGTGAACTTCAGGAGACATGTGTTGGTTCAGATGCTCGTTCTGTTCCAGTATCTACTCATGAAGGACGTCAAGTTCAAACCAGCCTCCTGCCAGTCTGCCCCTGATGACATGGTCTCTTGGGTCAACTCCAATCAGGAAAAGGTAACGCTAATAAGCAAGAACAGTAGAATTCAAAATAATGTAAGCAGTAGAATCCCAAACAGAGAAAACAAGTTTTTTAAAAACGAGTTACAAAACGGATTTTTTTTTGGAAGTTTTTTTTTGTAGTGAGATCTTCTGTCTAATAAACCTTGGCGTGATTGGCTTTTTATTCAGAAACAATAGGAAGTGCAGAAAACTTAGAAAGATTTTTTTTGAAAATGTGTTTTAGGAAATGATTTGAATTTTCCTAAAACACTAGGAAGGCCCAGAAATCATTTGGGTCATTTTCAAAAAAAAGAGTAAAAATCCGAGGTCCGAACCTGTAATTGACAATGGCCAATTTGAGGTAGCCAGAGCAACATTTTGGCAGAATTAATTTGGCAGCAATTTTTCATAACTTCGTTGCTGGAAATATTATATATATTTTTGTAAAATAATTGTTTTAACGAACAAATTCATCAAATAGCCCCTTTGAGTCGAAGTAAAGTATTTAGTTGAACATGAGAGTTTTGCTGAAAGTTGTAGTCTAAAAAGTACTCTGTCAGTATAATTTCTGTTTAATATCAGCTTCAGTTTAATATCAGCTCGGAATTTGTTGTTTGTTATAATCTTACATATTGAAATTTTAGGTCTACGCATTGCTACAGGAATCTCCGCCAAATGGCGACTTACTTGTGAAGACATTGAAACACATTCTGAACAGAGAACAGATCTGGAATTCTTGGAAGAATGCCGGATGTCCAGCATACGTGAAAGCGAATGCGGAAAGGGAGATCATCACGGAGAGTCCGGCGGCTGGAACCACTACGAAAGCGAGAACTAGGAGGACATATATCGGGGATAGTTTCGCGGCTCTAAGAGAGGACGGGGCCCCACCCTCTAAAAAACTCAACCTGGGCAAGTTTTTTTTCAATTTATTCAACCTGTAAAGATATACTAGTAGCTTAGTCATTTCACTGGGTTAAGAAGTCGTTTCAGCGAGAAGATTCAAATAATGGTCAACAAATATTGAAAACCGTAGACTTTGGAAATTGTTTACCGGGATAAGACTGCAAGCTTTTCTAGTGGGAAGTGCATTTAGCTGCTTTTAGAATGATTCCTTAGTTAAATGGATGCTGTTTTTTATCCTATGCTAAAATAGTCTTTTCAGTCATTTAAATCAATGCTCATCAAAAGCAACAATACCATTGGTTTTTGTCCCTAGCGATGAGCAAAATTTTGAGCGATGTTTGGGTGTGGTCAAGTTTATTTGATCTCGAATCAACTATCAAACAGGCGTTCGATCCATTGAAGGGTAGTACTTATTTACAAATAAAAAATGTTAAGTAGGCGTTTTAATTTGTCTTCTGGACGTAATAATTGTCTGTCAACTGAAAGATCAATTTTTTCCCCTGGAATGCATAGGAAATGGTTAGTAATGTCTCCATGCTGCCATCTGTGTTTTTTAAATCTGGAGATTTGGTTTCAAAACCCGTTGTCTCCAAGTGATTTTTTGTCGACGTTTTTTTCAGATTTCTTGATTTTCTTTCTATATCATGTTTGAAACCTTTGCTGCGCTTATTGCAAGCGTTATCACATCGGAATATAGACTTTTTTCGGGTTATCAATTAGTTTAACAAAATCAGTTAAATCACTTATTATGCTGCTGACATGCTCAATTTCATGAAAATTCAAATGTAACTACCGAGTGCTAGTTACTACTCATGATATATCTAGAAATTATTGTATGTATATTATAGAGGTTTGATATTATTTTTCTACTCATTGTTTTTCGGCTTCATGGTTGCCGGTTTAAGCTTTGTCTGTTTAGTCTCCAAAATACGTAATCTACTTGGCATACGCTTCTTGAATAGCTATCGTGGATCTTCTGTGGGCGTTACATGAAGTGTTTCCTATGTTTTTTTTTTGACGAAGAGTTTCAGCTTATTTGATGTTGGCTTCAATTCTGTCGGCTTATTTACCAATGTTTTTCCTTAAAATTTGCAGTAATTTTTTTGAGATACTGGCACCAATTTTTTGAATGCTCTAATACAACCCCACTAGGACGGACCTCTTTGAAAAATTAAATAAATTGAAGCACGAAAAAAAACGCATTTTTTTCTTTACTTATTGTTTTTCTACTTTCTTCAATTGTGACATAGTTCGAAGTTCTGTTGACTATTTTTTTAGCGTCATTGCGCATTCATGATATAATTTTTCTATTGTAAGTGGTGCGAAGCTCAGCTTTGCCTCCGTGTATATGAAAAGTGCAGTTTAGCATTAGGCCTATTTCTTGTTCACTTGACTTTGCAGTTATTTTTCGGAAGCTTTTTTTGCACAAAACGAAGTTTTGCATTATCTGCAAAACTTAAAAACTAATGAAATTTATCAATTCTCGTTGCTTTCCCTGTCTGCAAACTTTCCGCAAGTGTTTGATGAGGGCTATAGAGTTGTTCTATAATTCATTGTTTGATTTCCAGGAAGTAAAGAGTTGACCAGTTTGTGGAATATAGAACCGGATAATCTGAAGGCCTGCAGAGCGGAGAATAGACGCATCTTCCCAGAGGTGAGAAGAAAAAATAGGCATTTAAATAGCATCAAAAATGCCCTATAGAATTTTTGGCCCAGACAATGAGCGACCCTTAAATCTTCAAGCGAAATCTCCTTTTAACGCATGTAAAACAATTGTGGGTCCATAAATATCCCACTATTGAAACCCTAACAAAACAACCCTGCTTCATCTGTGAAAAGCAAGTTGTATCACTCTGAACTCTATAAGCCAATCCTATTACCAATTAAGTGGAAACTATATTTTGCATTAGTTTCCCAGCGAAGATGCAGTTTCTTTGCCGATCTTTTTGAGTATGATATGTTTAAGATGCGACAATTAACCCGCGAGGGAAAAGAGTAACATAAGAACTTTTCAGAATCGATGTTGTGCCCTTTTATTAGGAAATAAATGTACTTACTTTATTGATTGTTTTGGGCTGAGAAATTGCAAGCATCGAGCAGGGGCATGCGGGGCTCGAACCAGTGACCTCTGGAATGAGAGATGGAGGCCTTAGCCACTTCACCACATCGCTCTTCTAAATATGAATGTTCTGTTTTGTGCTCTATAGGTGAAGGACTTCTTCCGGGAGGCGGCGGAGCAGTTGGAGCCGGGGGCAGGCGTGGAGGAGGAGTACCTGTTGGTGTTGAAGCCCAACTACCAGTGGTGTGGGCTGAGACTTCTGGCCAGGAGGAGCACCCTCTTCTTCCAGCCCAACTCACAGTTCAAAACTGTGCCAGACTTCCTCAAAGGTACGAGTAGTAATAGACAACAACAACCACTTCTGCGATAGCATTCGAGTCATTTAGTTCACCCACAAAATTACAAATAAAGCGAAAGGATTACAGGCAGTCACTTTATGTTAAAGTATCAGTTGTAGACATTTTCTAAATAAAATAAATACAATGAATTCGTCTTTTTAGGGCACGAACAAATGTACCGATTGTCTTATTGCTAACATAAAGAAGAAACTTCAAGGGAGTTTTTGAAATTGTTTGGCGCATTTATGAGGTATTGTGGTAAATATATTGATCAGAGTTATTGATGTTAAAGCAATGATTGACAAAACCTTCAACGCCAAGCCAGCCGTGAAACCCGAATCGACCATTATGAGTGTCGATCGAACTTCAATCGCAAACGGCTCGATGACGCCTAACAGAACCACAGCAGATAACGAAAAGACCATAACTCAGGCCAATGGTACTGAAGAAATGGACGATGGTGCCTCGGCAACTACTAATAATGAAGCGTCGGCTGGGGACAACTCGGCTCTAGTTGACGAGTGTCGTGCACCGAGCGACTCGGAAATGACTGCGATGGCGACGCACATTCCCAAGAGCAATCTGAAGGACTTGGCAGTTCAGCTGGACTTCAAGGACGAGGAAATTGACGCTTTAGAAAAGGTCGGTAAAATTATATATGTGTGGGCGGATAAATGCAAAATGCAATGAGCTGCATTTTCACTATCGAAATGGCATTTTAATGGAGTTTTTGTCGAACGGTAAATAGCACTAATTTGCAAATTCGTTGGGAATTGAGAAAGATGTTTCACGCCATTTTTCGACTGCAAGATGGATTCGATTTAAACTTCAAATCAAATAATATTAGCTCAAATACAGTAGTAATCGAGATTTGGAGTGAGTACTCTTTACAGTATGGACTCATTCGCTAAAGATAAGCCTGAGAAAAAAACAGAAATTTCAGACCAATTTTTCTCGACACTGAGAAATTAGTTTTTCCTTTAACATGTTTTAGTATCCGAATCAGGACAGGGTGTCTGAATGCGGTGCCAAGTTTAACCCTTGCTAGCGTTCGTTGACGTACCGTACCATAAATCCCGTGAAAACACTCACTCTCCGCTATAGTTAGTTTCCACTACGAGGCTGGTCGAAAAATAAATCTAGGCTGCCATTCCCTGACCTGTCGAATTGTGTCTTTTACACCAGATAACGTTTGATGAAGATGCCACCCCCACTTTTCTGCTATGAAATCTTCTTCCAGTTTCAAAACCTTAATATCTAAATAATGTGCTTCAAAAGCGACTTATAACCTGCATGTTTATACGCTGCAGATTTCCATTAAAAATAATTCATTTTTTAACATTTAAATCAATATTACCTTTTTAGAGAATAAAAGCTGTGCTCGGAACATTCTGTGTTACACGCGCAGCGACCGGCTACTTCTGTTAGAATTAAAATTTTAATGATTCTCAATTTAAACAATTGGTTTTTTTGGGGTTAAGATTATCTAATTACGTGCTCATGTTTGACTCATCTGTTGTATTATTTAGGATCCGGATTCGTGGTGTGTGTCTATGTTGAGACTGTGGGTTGAGAGGGAGGGCGAAGAGGCCTCGGTGTCCAATCTGGTCCAGTCTCTTCTGGATGTGGAGTTGCCACACATCGTGTTCAGAGTATACCCCAAACTGCTGCCCTCACAGTACCGGAAAAAGGTAAAATAAAGAGTCGATTTTTAGAGGCCGACAAATAATTGGTTAATGATTTTTACACTAGCCAGCTTGCGAAGCGTTGTGTCTTATTACACTAGCATCAGCTTAGTGTATTATTACGAACCTTCTTTTAAAAAAGTAATGAACGTAGTGAAGAGTCTTTTATAGGTCTTGCTGATTTTTTTTTTTTCGTTTTTTTTTCAGGAACAATTCTTAAAATGTGCACAAAAGTCTAATAACTACAGATGTGCATTCATATATTGATGCATATGCAGTTAGGTATATGTGCACTTTTTGAGCACAATTGAAATTCGTCTGCTGAAAGTGACGTAAATAGCATCTCCAAATACGAACGTGGAAATGGCGCGAAAGAGTGAACGATTTCTAGTTTCAAAAGTTGAATTTCTTTTTTTTTGGATTTCCAGCGGAGCAAAAACTTCACCTGTTGATCCAGTTTTTTTAAGTTGGGTTAATGTTATCAAAAAAGTGCCAATCATAAGTCGTTCTAAAAATTCAAAGAGCTTAAACGGCATCTATATTTTGCTTTGAAATTCGAAAGTTGAGACTTTTTCAACTAAGTCAGTGTTTTCTTTTAATCTTTACTTGCGTTCATTACTCTTTTCCAATCTTCGATTGGCAATGTTCTATACTAGCGATCAGCGTAGTGTATTACCACGAACCTTCTTTTTTCTAACCTAACTGGCAAACAAAAGTGTTCATTAAAAGTGTTCACGAATTTGGAAATTTCACTTTAGCATTGGAAATTGCATGCATTTGTTTGTGGCTAGTGTTTGTGATGTATTTAGCGTCCGTGGCCGGGTGGTTAGTGTGGAGGTTCATAATCTCTAGGTCGCAGATTCGAATTCAAGACGTAGCTGAATTTGTACTAATTCGAGGCTTATTTTTAATTTTACTTATTGCACTTTATAGAGCTGCATTTTGTCGTGCTGTCGCTAGTGTTTGCGAGGTGAAGCTTCGCCTCTGTAGAAAAGTTTTTTTCTTGATTTTGAGGTAGAAGTATGACATAAAAGTCTGTGAAATTATGCAGGGGCGTGTGTAGGGTTTGTTTTTTGACAGGTGGAGAGGGTTGAGAAAATTTGTCGGTCTTATTTTATGGCGCATGCATTTGGAGTTTTTGAGCTCTTTTTGAACCTGAATTGATCATTTTTATCATAGTTTTCTGCGCCACAGGCTGTTTGTTGAGGAAAATAGCGTCTGCATTTTTTTGAGAAGGTTAAGATCCGAAAAAAAATTTTTTCAATTAAATAATGCAATGAACTAGAAATATTAAAAAGGCGAAAAATAATTGGCAAGATGTTCAATTTCAGGCGATGGAAATTCTAGAAGAAACAGAGAAACCAGCGGATGAATCCGATGAGCCCATGGTTGTGTCCTAGGAACCCCCCAAAGGCCACACATCTTTCAAAGTGCAACTCGCAATTCTGTTTCATGGCCCTTATGTCAAATGCGAAATGTGCACAGGTTGCGCGTGCTTCGAAGTTGTTCCTCCCTTTCACTCACTTGGTTGGAGAAGTGTGTCTGTTTTGTTGGTGTCCTCAGTAAACAACTATTTGTTGATGTGATTGATCTCTCTCTTATTACTGTTGTTAAATATTATGACAAATTTTGTTGCTCCTAGAAATTCACTTTTGATTGTATCCCGTGTTTTTACTCATTGAGAACTATGAGAACTATTTCTAAGAAAGAATGATATCCGCTCCACCAGCGTCAAATAGTTTTGCAAAAACTGTTCTACTATTTTGGAGTTTAATTGCACAGTTGAATTTTCTCAGAAGATAGATGGTGAATTTTCTCAAAAAATTTAAAGTGCTCTAACGTACACTCAAATTTCCAATTTTGTTTTTCTTTACTCGGGTGTTTGCTTAACAAGGCCGAAACTGGGTGCCTGTTTTGCATGTAACTAGTAGCAGATTCTGGGGGAGGGTGACACGCGCCAAACACAACTCCATTTTTTGGTCAAAAACTTACTGAAACGGTTGGCCTTCCGCGCGAAATTTTCTCAAAAGAATTTTTGAAAATCCCTTTGTCGAGAAAACCCTAGATACGCCTGCCTGTTCCTACATATGTGAGAAATGGACTAATAACTCTTCCTTTCTCATAATAAACAAGCTTTATATAAAAAGCGGGACTTCCAGTTTTCATCAAAACTGTTTTCCAGAACCAAGAGTGCGCTCAGACATATCTACATGAATCTTCAGTTTCTAGTGACGTTTTCAGACTGTTGGCCTTCAGATTTCAGGTTGGATGAATGAGAAATGCGTCTCTGAAAAGGAAGACAATACTCTCTCAGTTGGGGATGAAATCAATCTGAACAAAATAAGAACGGACGATGGTCATCGAAGTCGCAGAGGAGAGAAAACAGCCCTGGCCCAAGGAGTCAGTGGCTTCATTGCCGGATGCACTAATGTATTAATCACCTTCCCCATTAATAAAGTGAGCCCTGTTGATTAACTTTAAGACTAATAACTTATGAGCACAATTGTTGCTGTTCGCATAACATGGTAACGGCGATTCAAAAGCTGAAAACAGGGATAAAAATGCAAGCTTTTCCATTGAAAATTGCAATAGGCTACCCTTAATATGAGTTAAGAATTGAATATATGCTGTTTTTTATCCTATGCTAAAATAGTCTTTTCAGTCATTTAAATCAGTGCTCATCAAAAGCAACAAGACCATTGGTTCTTGTCCCTCGCGATGAGCAAAATCGTGAGCGATGTTTGGGTGTGGTCAAGTTTATTTGATCTCGAATCAATTATCAAACAGGTTTTTTTATCAATTAGTTGCTATCGGAAGTATCGTTTTGAAAGGTCGATGAATGAAGTTCAGACAAATATTAGGTCATCATCATGTTTATTTAGGGACTCTTTTTTTGTTATTATCTCTCATGATTGGGCTTGCAAAGTTCTGCTAGAGGATCTGTCGAAGTGTTTTCAACAGAGTGCGGGTGCGGCTTCAAATGTTTCTGAAATATCACCAGACCCGCTCAGGTTGTTGCATAGTTCGATTTGATTTCTTTTCGAGTTCTGTTCAAACTCATTTGCTAAAATGAAGGAAGCAACCTAAGCTCTCCTCTAATACAAGTCCAAATGGCACAAAAAAACGTGAATGACTTTTACTTTAATATGTGGATTATAATTCAGAGAAATCTGAGCTGATTGAAAATCAAAACCATTGATCCAGTTTTTCAAATTGAACTTGTTTTATCAAGAAAAGTGTCATCTTGAAAGTGCTCAGCTTCTTTCACAGATTTGATAATTTTCCAACTGCGTGTTGGCTATGTTTAAGCTCAAATCAAATGTCTTCGCTATATGGAATATTACACTATTATTGAAGTGTACGAGGCGCGATAAACGTCTTTGACTTCGCATAAGTAGATTTTAATTTCCCGCGGAATTAAAAATTACCCCTTGATCTAAGTTTCTCCAATTGGGTTACTTCTATCAAAAAAGTCGTCAATTATAAATAAAACTTAAAATTCGGTTTACCTAAACAGGAGTTTTTCTGAAGTTGCGTTTTTGGTCATTTTTTTCCAGTTTCCTTGGGATCAATAACATCTTTCAATAACATGTTTCCAACTGTCTGATGACAGTGTCTAAAAACTGTCTAATCATCATCAAATAAGTTTGAAATTGTTATAGCTCCACGGCTTTAAGCTTTTCCTTTGCAACTCGTAAGTTGCGAAAGTTTTTTTGCCTCTTAAAACAACTTTCATCAAATTTGACAGAAATTTTTGTTGCGTTATTATCGAATTTTAGCAACTTCCAGGCTCCATCCCTTTTGCTCTGGAGATAATGTGGTTGCTTTTTCATCGTGGCATTCGAGTCCCGGCTGGACCTTGTTTTTTATTTGACCTTGTCTTAAATTGAGTTTTCGGTAAAAATTGACTAATCAGACTATATTTTTTCGGCTTATATTGCCACAACACAGACGTTTTTTGCATTGGAAGAAATGTGCATTATAGTCTCGAGTGTCTTTGATTAACTCCTGTTGTTAGTAAATTTACTAACCCTGTCTGGTATTTTTCCGTTTTTTTTTGCGTTTTTTCGCTCAGAGATTTTATTCGGTCTAAATGATTTCCTCTTAAATTTTGTCGGTTTAGTGGAACTATTTTGCATCGTCTTAACGGCAAAAAATGTTTATTGTTTTATATAAATCGGGTCGGTTGTTGCATAAAAGTTAAAATTTTGAACAATCGCTCAAGTTTTTTATGACAATTTTTTTTGCGTTTTTATTTTTGGATCAGTAGTTGTCTAACCACACAATGTCGGCTTAGTGAACGCTCGGAAAACACTAAAAGCCTGTTTAATGTTAGTAGATGTGTTTCTTTCTCGAATGTTTTTCAAGTTTCGATTTAGTTGTTTCGATTTTAGGATCTGTTTGGTGGCTTGCAATGTGGCGCTTTCGTTGTAACTCTGCCAAGTTGTGCCAAAAAGTGAAAATGGCGGGAAAAGCAACTGTCTATAATAAGGACATTCAATTTTAGCAAGTTTTTTTGGAAGTGGAAAGTATTTTTCTGTAGTTGAAGAGTACGGAAGACTTGGTATGGTGTTCATACTAGGAAAATCAAAATATTGATTAGTAAAACTCGCTGAAAAGACGAGGATAGCGGAAGAGAGGATACAAGAGGGCATATAGTGTTTTTTCGTTTGTGTTGGCCAAGATTTATCTAGATCCGTTTTTGTTTAACTATATTGCATTTGTAAATATATTTTATTTTCACTTTTCAGGCGATGTTACGGCAGCAGTTATCCGGTCACCTCACAAAAAAAGTGATCAGTGAAATGAAGAAAGAGGGCTGCGCGTATCTCTATAGAGGTCTAGGTCCGGTTTTGCTACAAAAGACAGTCGCGTCATCCCTTATGTTCGGAGGTTACGGGTACTTCGGTAATTTGATCGAAGCCAGAAACCCTGCTCCAAATCTCCTCTCGAACCGTCACAGACGTAGTTTTGCAGCGGGTGGATTATCAGGTGCATTTGAAGCAGTTTTAACCCCATTTGAGAGAATTCAAGCGTTGATGATAGATTCAAAAAGGCATGTGCAGTTTAAAAATTCAGTTGAAGCCTTTGCCTATGTGAGAAAAATGGGCTTGAAGGAAATGTACCGAGGGTATACGTGTATTCTGGTCAGGAACTCAGTGTCATCTGCAATATGGTTTTCAACCAGGACTAAATTAAAAGAGAAAGCAGTACTGTCGTCCGACAAAAGATTCAAGAGAACAAAGTATGTATGCCAGTTTACTATTAACGTTTTTTTGACGAGTCGGACGTAGTTCAGACTCTTATATAGTTCTTGATGATTTTTTTCATTTTTTTAGGAATTGCTCTTATAATTCAGAAAATGCATTCATCCATAGTAATGCGTTTATGAATGCCCATAGGTATATGTTCCCTTTTTGAGATCAATTCAAGATAATGTGCTTAAAGTAGGCAAATTTCCCTCTCCAATTTACGAAAAAGGAAATGACGCAACAAAAGTGATCAATTTCTAGGTGGAATCCCTCATATGCGAAGAACCGAATGGGCGAAAATAAAAATCAGCCAATCAGATTTCAGTATTCCAAAAATTGGACACAAAGCGTGAAAACCTCAAAGAAAGTAAACATTTCCAGGGACTTGATATTAATATTAGCTGAACATAAAAAGTGCAGAAAATGCAAAATTTTCAAAATGTATGACCACCGGCGAATTGGAACAAATTTAAATTTCAAGGGTTTCTTTATAAAAGAAGCAAAGTATTGTTTCATTTAATTTCTTTTAGTTGAACGGCCATTGAAACATTTTTACAGGAGCGTAGCGTAGTGTGATAGTACGATGCAACTTTTTTTCTAACCTTATTCGCAAATACAAGTGCTACTTTTGGTGGCAATTTTTTACACTAGCCAAGCATAGTGTGATAGTACGATTCAGCTTTTTTTTCTAACCTAAGTCGCAATTAAAAATGCTTCTTTTGGTGGCTCTTTTCAAACAGTTGGCTGTATAAGCAGTATATTACCAAGTGCTTTGACTTGTGATTAGTAATAGGCTAATACAGTTCATGCTCTTTCAATTCATCAATTGAACCGAAAAAGCTAATTGTTTCATACAATGGTATTATAATTTAAATCCCTTTTCAGAAAACTTGCAACTTGATTTACTTCGCGAGATTTTTGAAATGCATAATTATTCAAAATTTGGTTTAATACATTCTAATTTATTACATGAAACGTTAGTGTGGTTGCCTTTAGTTTATTACATTACCAAATTATTACATGCAGAGTTTTTGTGCATTTAAAGCTCCTGAGTTTTTGCCGCTTTCTCGCTCGTGTTTGCGAAACTGCAGCTTCATCTCTGTGTTGTGTAATAGATGACTTTCGACTGTTTTTGTGTTCGGTCCTTCGTCAATGAGAATGTTCCCCAATTTCTATTTTCGAAAACGAAATTTTTAAGATTCCTCGGCGGAACAAAAACTTTACCTAACATTCAAGTTTTCTCAAATTGAGTTATAGTTACCAATAAATTGCTCTCGAAATTCAAAGAAACCAAAGAGCGTACCTTATTGTCTGAAGTTCGAAATTTGAGTTTTTTTCCTAAAAACAAGACTTTTTATGTTTCTTTGCGTTCATTGAATCTTTTCCAATTAAAATGAATCTGTTGGCTATGTTTCGGTATTTGGGAAGCTAATGTGGAATGTTTTTTGAGGCATGTTTAAAAGCAAACAGAGTCAATAGCCAAAGGTAAAGATTATTAGGAGTAATGAACGTGGTGAAGAGTCTTATTCTTGCTGATTTTTGTTGTCGTTTTTTTAAGAAAAAGTCTAGAAATGTGCACAAAAGTCTCTAATAACTACAGATGTGCTTTCATACATATTGATGCATATGCAATTAGGTATATATGCACTTTTTGAGTACAATTGAAATTCATCTGCTGAAAGTGACGTAAATAGCATCTCCAAATACGAATGTGGAAATGGCGCGAAATAACGTGAACAATTTCTTGTTTCGGAAGTGGAATTTAATTTTTAAATTTCCATCGGAATAAAAACTTTACCTGTTGATCCAGTTTTCCTAAGTTGGGTTACTGTTATCGAAAAAGCGCCAATCATAAGTCGTTCTAGAAATTCAAAGAGCTTAAACGGTATCTTTTTTTCTTTGAATTTCGAAAGTTGACATTTTTTCAACAATGTCAGTGTTTTTTTATGTTTACTTGCGTTCATTACTCTTTTCCAATCTTCGAATGGCTATGTTGTATGATTGATCCTGGTGATTTGTCAAGTTATTCGAAATCAGTTTTCAGATTTGTGTAATTTTGAACTAGAAGATATTTCTCTCACTGATATAGTCAGATTACAAATAAAATTTGAATAACTTTTCAAACAACAGAACTTCCGAGACTAGAGATCTACTCATAACAACAAATGAAATCGAAACAGCTTTTAATTGAATTTAAATTCAGAAAAAAAACTCGAACATTTTACGAAAAAAGAAACATGTTTCTTGTAGCTTATCGATTATATATTAACAATTTAGATAACCAGATGTGTATCGAAAAAAAACCAACAACGTTTACCCTTGAATTTGATCAAATAGGAGAGTTATTTCAGGAGCGAAAATCTTCTGATAGATTTCTGTACTGGTTCTTTGATCGGAGCAACACTCTCGACTGTATTTTACCCTATAGCTGTGGCCAAAATGAACATGATGGCCCCAGTAGGTGCTAACAAACCTTTCCTCTCAATCTATGGGGCACTGAGACTAGCCTACGAGCAGAGAGGCAGTTCACTTGTCAGGCTCTACACTGGGGCTTACATGAACTTCCCTAGATCCCTCATCAGTTGGGGAATTATAAATGCTGTTTATGAATTGTCGCTTGAAAACTTGTTTGATCATAACCATAGAAGATAGTTGTGGTGCTTCAGATGAAAATATTTCAAACTGATGAAAACAAACTTTGAAATTTATGAAGTTTTTTCAAGTGATTGTTTTTTCATCCCAAAGTTTCAGGGAATTATCTTCTTTTTGAGATAATTTGAAATATATTATAACAGTTTAATAAGGTTTTAACTTTGATTAGGTTTTTTGAGAGTCCCCAACGTCATCTATGGTTATGGCCTTGCAAAAAATGCAGGGTTCTGAACTCATTATGCTCGATAGGTTTTCTTGAAATGAGTTAAATTTGTACATTTCATTTGATATTGGTTTCGAAAACTTAAATTTAATTATGAATTGAATTAAAATTTAAATTGTCTCAATTTTATTTTCAAAATGTCGTTTGAATATAGATTTTTTGTAGTTATTTTTAAGTGTAAAATAACGAAGTCGTTTTCGTTTATGTGTCTTGATGATTTTTTTGTTTCAGGAAAAAGTCTGACACTCTTTAAGCACTAAATAATTACAAAAGCTCATTCATGCATATGAATGCTTTCATGAATGCTCGTAGGCATATATGCACTTTTTGTGTTCGATTCAAATTCATCAGCTAAAAGTTAGGTAATTGCGCTCTCCAATGACGAGTGCGCAAATGGCGCGAAAAAACTTGAACGACTTCTAGTTTCGAAAGTGAATTTTAATATTAAGATTTCCCAGTGGAAAAAATTATACCCTTTGATCCAGTTTTCTTTAATTGGGTTAATGCTATCCAAAAAGTGTCAATGATCAATAAATTTTTCTTGAAAGTCAGAGAGCTAGCCATACCTGATATAATTTTTCATTGAAATATGAAAAAATAATATTTAAAATTGAAAACGTCTTTTTTTGCTTCCCCTTTCTTTGAAGAGACAAGGAACGTAGTTCGTACTCTTGGATAGGTCGTGATCATTTTTTTTCAGGAAAAGTCCTAAAATGCTCTGAAAACAAAAGAAGTGCATTCATGCTTATAAATTCACATATGAATGACCTTAGGTATATATGCACTTTTCGAGATCAAATCAAGTTCATTTGTTAGAAGTTAGGTAAAATGCGCTCTCCAATTATGAAGGATGAAATGGCTCAAATAAAGACATCGATTTCTAGTGTCGAAGGTGAATTTTAGTTTTTAGATTTTCCAGCGGAATAAAATTTTTTCCTAGTAATCAGTTTTCTCAACTAGGTATAATACTATCTAAAAAATGCCAATTTTATGCTGCTCTTGAAATTTGAGCCTTAAGGCCATCTACTTTTTTTGTTCGAAATTCGAAATCGGGCTATGTTTACACATACTCTCTGTTGGTTATATTAACACATTTCCAAACTTCTGTTAGCTGTTTTTTTTAGCAGGCAGCCAATTTTTTTTTTCGGAAATCGGCTTAAAAACAAATTAAAAGGTAAGCTCCTGTATTAATTTTTAGTGTAACATATAAAAGAAAATGAGTGATCATTTTCAAAGGACTTGGGAAGGTCTCAAGCGCTATCAACAAAATTTGAAATTGCGAGACCAATCAAGTTTGTCGCCTGTTACTTCTCAGAGTACCCTAGAAATTTCAGAGGGTGGCACAATCAAGCGATGCGATAATCAAGAATCAGTTCCAAGAAATACTGGAACATTGCTGGGCGCCAAAGTTCCAAGTAGGGCTTTTCAATCGCCAATGCTTTCGAAATTAAAAGGTATCCAAACGGGAACACGAATTAGTGAAAAAGCAACAAACCATACTCAAAAATTAAATCCATGCCATACCGAGAATACTGAAGAAACAGTTACAAGCGAATGTTCGGCAAACTTGGCTAATTTAAATAAACAGCAGCCAAAACTTGAAACTCCTGATTTGGTGTCAAAAACAAAGTGTGGTTCGAAGGACGGAAACGCTGAGATGGTGTCATCTGACAGATTGAAACGTGTTTTGGAATACAAAAGGAAATTAGCTTCTGAGATCGGCCATCCTGAACCGAATGCTGAAATCTTCCATCTGAGCGAAGAAACTCAAGATCTCAAAATTTCACCCTCTTTACATTTGTCTTCGTGTAAGAATTCGGACAATCGAAATATGCATGAAGAAACAGAATTTTCGAGAGTTGATGAACCATCTAAATCTCAAAGTCAGTTCCAATTAAACGTCTCGATTTCATCTGTATCAGGTCGTAAAAGGAACTGGGTTTCGCCCGGGTTTCTCAATCAAAAGCCAGGAATGGATTTTCGTTCCCGAAAACCAGAACAGAATTCGGAAAATGTTTACCTGAATAGTACAAAGCCGATTGTAAAAGCCAAGTCTTCGTCCGTAGAAAACGCAAAGAATCTTTTGGAAACGACTAGTAACATAAATCTAAATTTGGGAGATGTTAATAGCCCATTGAAAGCATGCTCGGGAAGAAAGAAATTTGAGATGACTTTTCCCTACAACGAAGAAAGTTTCTACGAACACAAAAATGTCTCGGAATTTGAGGAGCAAGAGAATTTTCTCAAATTTTTGAAAGCGGGGCTTAACGCAACCACAAAACTTGACGTTAAAACTTTGCACGAACAATATTTTATTTCTCTGGAAGAAACCGCGAGTAAAGATTTGGTTCAAATGCCGGACGAGAAGTTTAAGAAAGCAAACAGTCATTTTGAAAGAGCGTTTTTACACGAAAGCTATCTAGACTTTGATGAGACGAGCTTAGAAGATCCGTTGAACAAAACTGATTTGATTGACAGAGAACTGAAACTAGACGTGAAATGGCCGGAATTAAATTTGGGGTCAGTACCTAAAGAACCAAAAATTACTTTAAGTATTACAGAAAAAGATGGAGAATCGTTCCTCGACTACGAATTTTCAAGTCCGTGTTTAACTGAAATCGAAGATCCAGGAAAGTTTTCGATTCCTATAAAACCTGTTGTTTGTTCTGTTGATTGGGTTAGTTTGTTCTCAATGAAACAGGACTGTCCAAATTTTTTGCCCGTTGAAGATGAAAACCAGAAAAATCACAAAGCAAGAAAGTTATTTGATCAGTTCGTAATGAACTCACCGGATAATTTTGAGCTTGAATTCGATGAAAATCAAATTGCGATATCAGCGCCTCCATTTTCTAAGCAGAAATTTGCAGTGAACGAAGAATGTTGTGTGACCAATTTTTTACAACCGTCTAAATCGGAAAAGCCTCTGTTTAGTTTGATAACTGAAACTAAATCTGAAGCCCTCGCTAGTATTTCGTGCTATATGAGTCAGTTTACAGGAAGTGAAGAATTAAATTCATCAAGCGAGCATCTGCCTGACTTCAGTGGCAATGAAACTATTGAATTGTATGAGTACAGAAAACGCAAAATATGCCGATCAAAATTGGACCAGAAATCAAAAAAAGCCCGAAAAATTACACTTCAAGAAGTATGTCATTCAAAGTCCAAAACTTTCAGCAATTTATCACATGAGAATCCCAAAGTAGCGAAGTCGGCACAAACTGAAAATGATCTTGAAACAAGTCATTTAATTTCAATTTCAGAGAATTTGAACCGCTTCGAAACAAGGTTTGAAACGCAACATCAAAAAAATCAGATAGGGTACTTTAACGAGAGCTTTGAATTGAGTGATCAAAGTCATAGTTCGCGTCTAAATAGCAATTTTTTCAACCTAACTCCAGTGAAATCAGATGTCCAGGTTACCCCTAACTACAACATCCGATCAATACTGACCTTGCCGAATAATGATGACACTTTCGACGACCGCGAAGTGAGTTTCGGTTCTTCTAGGTTCAACAAAAAATTTTTCGATGTGTCAAATAACAGTACCGATTTGGATTTCGCAGAGAATTGCGGTGATGTCATCGAAGAAGATCGTCTTCAAAAAGAGGCAGAGTATAGAAGCATTGAACGTACTGCAATTCATAGTCCGTATTTTGATGCGAAATTATCAGGGAGCGATCGAAACGAGCGAAGTTTGGGTATTAAATCTGCCAGTTATATTGATGAAAGTCATTCGTCTGATGAGTTTGGTTCCGATGAAAAATCATTCACGCCGACAAATCAAAGGAACAGTGAAAGATCATTGATCAAATATCAGCAAGCCCAAGCCAGTTGTTTTTTGCCCATAGAAGAAAATTCACAACCGTATTTAAATAATACACCAATTGTTAGAAGAGGAAAAGTGTCTAGAATAAAAAATCCGGAAATAATTGATCACAACCAAAATTACATAACAGGAAAAGATTTAGGTTCCTGCTCACAGAAGAACAGAACAGTTTCCAAGTTAGAAGAGGATTTTAGAGTTAAAAAATTAAATCGACCTAAAGACAAATTGCAACAGATTCTAGCAATGTCCGAAGAATTAGCCCAAAAATTCAGTTCAAGATCTAGAAATCACAAAAACAAAGAAATTGTTTCCAAGAATTATTTAAGTTCTCAGAATCAGCAGGATTACGAATTAAGTTTTTCGCTATCATCTGCCAAAGACAGAAAAAGACTAGGGATTTCGCTGAGCAGAATTACAAGCAGGAGTGTCAAAATAAACCAAATGGACAAAAATGGGGACAATAAAAACGGGTACCCAATTACACATTCAACGCCAATTTCAAAGCAGAATAAAATATATCGATCGAAAGTCGATCTAATTGGTCAAGATAAAAATACGAAGTTGCCAGATGATTCAGATATAAGTCTTGAACAACCTAAAGCTCAAGATAAGAGAAAATTCAGACTGAACTGTAGAACAAGTTCTAAAACCATAATCGAGAAACGAGTACGGTTTAACGATTAATGATTTTTGTCTCATATTTGCCTCATATTTACTTCGTTGAAGTTGAACATTTCATTTTTTTCACAAGGCAGGTAGCACTAAGAAACATCAGATGGTATTGAGTGATAAATCAGTTTTAGCCGTTGCACTAATAAGTCGAACTTGAAGGAAAATGAAAAAAAAAACCTCTCGGTGTCAAGAAAGCTCAATTTGAAATCTCTACTTCAGGTCAAAATAGTAATGAAGATTGATTGATTTAATTGGTCCATTTTTAACTCGTTATTAATTGAATTTAGTCACACGAATTAAACTGAATTTTGGCAGACTGTTTCTGTAAATTAATAGACGGCTAGTTTTGAAAATATTTGCAAAAATTTCGCCAAAAAGCGTTAAGAAATGATCAAATTTCCTAGAATGGAGTTAGCTAGTATCAGTAAGAAAGGGCTTTCCTGTTTTTATTGGCTATCATTGTGAAAAAATTTTTTAAATCAAAATGAAAAAAAAAATACGTTTTTTTTTACGATTTCTATGTGCATACAGAACAAAAGCGTTAAAAACACAGAAAAGTACAATTTTTGAACCACAAATAGTATAAAATGCTTTCTTGCACTGTATATGGTGTTTTTGAATGTCGGTGCCCTGCTTGTTACAAATGATTTTCAAGTTTGGTTGCTGGATACTGTTGTTTGATATAGATTATTTTGCTCTAATCCTTCTCCAAAAAGTATGGCGGAACTAGTCTTGAGAAGGTTCATTTCACGCATATCAAATTACTTCGGAAGAAACCTCATGTGTAAGAGTCACGAAGAAAATTTACTGGCGGTATTCGGAACTTAAAATCGAATGTTATAACAGTTACCCGTAAGCTGTAAGAAACTAGTCTTGCTTTGTCTCAACAATATCCAGGAAAATATGGTAGATAAACATTAGCTTTTTAATCATGGTATGGATTTCACTTATTTATAAAAATATTCCTCCAATTTGAACAAAGTTTACTATAATTGAGAGTCGTTCTGTATTTTAAAAAAATTATTAACTCTGATTTTGAATAAGCTCTTTTTTTCATTTCTTTTTTCATTTTAATGGTTTCGGCCTATTTTGTTTTGCCTCAGTAATCTTATATTTGGTCAGTTGAAAAAATTGTTTTTCTGTTTTCTTACATACCTAGGATTGTAGTTTCAAAATGGTTGTTTCATGTTTGAGTTTTAAAACTTCATAGGTCGAAATTTTCTATTACAACATAATTTTATGTTATTTTGGACTTCGGTTGCCTACCCAACTATTTTCGGCTAAAGAGCCACTCAGTAAAAAAAACTGAATGCTCATAATGCTGTCAATTGCGTTTCTAGACCGTTTTCCTAAAATTGACCACCAGTTGAGACAGACACACGGAACTTGTCTTGATGCTGTTTTTTTTTCAATAGATTTTTGCTATAAATTTTTTCTAATTAGTGGTTTCTTTTCGCTAGCTTGCGATGCTATGCTTGCGCTGCATCGGAAGTATTGCAAAGCTCTGTTTTGTTTCTTTGTAAAATCTGCTGATGCATCGTTTACCTTTCCAAAATTTCGTTTTTTCCAAGTTTACTAAACAAAAATTGGTTTTCGTCTTTCTTTTGCAATGATAACTATCGTCAGACTATTCTCTGCATTGGCTATCCTTATGATGCTTAAAGATACAATCGACGTAATTATGCATTTTAAATTAAAAAATTAGAGCATACAAATTACGAATGATCATTTCGAACCTTGATTCGTATAAATGTCTTTCCTTGTTCTGAAGATTGATGTCAATTATGAAGTTTTTTCCAATTACGTTTTTTCTATGTACGTTCAATTTGTAAGTTCAATTTTCATACTCCTCACAAATCCACGACTGGTCTGCGCAAATGATGTTTCTCCTGAACCAATCAAAAGTAGCCCTGTATCTGATATTCTGCACATCAGCAATATAGTTGAACAAACCCCTGCTTCGATCGGACGATCTAAGAAAAAGCTGAGTTTTAGCGGCTCTTTTTCCCCTCACCTAAATTTTAGCACAGTAAAATGTTGTTCACATTTCCTGGTTTTTAAATTCCTGGTTATTAAAATTGATATACGGACTAAGTAGGTCAAGAAGACCATATTTGGTCTTCATAATTAACCTTGTAAAACGACTCGTTACACCGTAAAATTGATGCTCGTTCGAGGTATTAGAAAGTAGATCCGTTTAAGCCACATTACGAGGCCAAACTGTGCCCTGGATAGGCGCACATTTTTCTATCTGTATGTTCCTGGATTCCAGAGACAAGTATTTAAAACATGTTTGAACAGTTGGTGGACTACACTTTTAAAATTTTCGTGGATTCAGCGTACGAATATCTGTAACGTAAATTTTGTCGGCACAGTGATTTTGTTGCGGATTACGCAACGAGCAAATTTAAGTAGTTATTCCGGATTCCGCAAATGTAAGTTCACAAAATTCACAGTTTGGCCTCGTAATGTATTTAACTTGCCGAGAAACCTATTGTATTAAATGCTTTTTGTTCCGACTTTCGATACGAAAGTAACGTAATATTTGTGCTCGGGGTGGGTTTGTTCTTCAGACAAATTTCGACTTTTTAACTAGCCATTTTTGACGGAATTTTTTAATGTCACTCGAAAGGTATCGTTGTCCTGAGCTTAAATTTGAAAAGATATTTCACCTGTGATCATTTTTCGTTAAGTTACGGGCGTTTAAAGATTGCCATTTTGGCCAATTTGGGGCAATTAACGCGCGATATATTAACGCGCGAATTTGGGACAATTAACGCGTAAGCGAGATTTAATCTGTCTTAGAAATCGTTCCAAATTGGTTCAAGGAAGCTTATATGCCATAATTGATTTGTTAATAGGAGTAAAATTTATCACTCAGTACTTATTATTACGTGTGGAGGGATGATTTAAAAAAACTTTCAAATTTAAAAAAAAAAAATTCATTTTATTCTATTACATTTAAATTTGTTTATTATTTCTGCTTCATAAAACTTAAAAGGCAGTCGGAACATTCAGGGCTTCGCCCTGATACGAGCAGTCTTGTTATATTTAGCTCTTAAAGAATGTTTAGTTTAAGCGCTTTTTGGCTTACAGATTTTCCCAAAGGGTACAAAATTCACTTGAGTTGATTGAGCTGACGTCTTAAAAAAATCAATTCACCCAAAGCCCTTGTATGACATTGGCAATGAAATGATTTTCAATCAAAGCACTAAGAGAACCGTTGAAATTTATTTTGGATAAATGGCGAACTTAAACGTCAGTTTTCATCAGACTGTTTAACACGAGCATAACTAGGTTCAGTGTAATTGGTAAACTGTGCTGCTTGCCTGGGTATTGGGAATATGTGGTGCCTTCCTTCAGTCACTCGGGAATCCTCTGCATGGTATCGAAAGGGACCTGGACCAAAACCAATGGCTGATATGATATTGCCGCACCATTGGTCAAAGCGCACCTGAAAAACAAATCGATTTGAGACCAAAAGCAAACAGTTCGGAGTCAAAAGTTCGCACCCGAAAAAAAAAATCAAGTTGAACCAAAAGTCATTCGAAGTCAAAAGTTAGCATCCGAAAAAAAAATCGATTTGAAAAGTAAAAGTCAAAATTTCGAAGTCAAAAGTTCGCAAAAACAGACCAAAAAGCCAAAAATTCGAAGTCTAAAGTTCGCACCCGAAAAAAATAGATTTGAGACCAAAATTCAAAGGTTCGAAGCCAAAAGTTCGCACCCGAAAAAAATAGATCTGAGACCGAAATTCAAAGGTTCGAAGTCAAAAGTTCGCACCCGGAAAAAATCGAATTGAACCAAAAGTCATTCGAAGACAAAATTTGAACATGAAAAGAAATCGATTTGAAAACTTAAAATTTCGAAGTGAAAAATTCACAAAAAAATGAGACCAAAAAGCCAAAATTTCGAAGTCAAAATTTCGCACCCAAAAAAAAACAGATTTGAGACCAAAATTCAAATTTTGGACCAAAATTCAATGCCGAACTATTTCAGTGATGTAGCGATAAGTTTGTGTAGATATTCGCTTTAACCATTAGCTGTTAAGTCCGAAATTTAGGTTAAATTAAAAATCAGTTGGTTAGGTTGTTCAACAGTGGCATAACTATTTTTCGCTAATTCAATAATAATTTCAATTACGATCAGCAGCCGTTATCTAATGTATATTTGTTTAGGCAAATATTTGTTTAGCAAACTTAGTTGAATCACTTGATAATTTGGGCCACAATCAATTCAAATTTTTTAGCTTCTTCGATATTGGCATGGAGGCAACGAGTATGACAGGGACGGCCAAGTTACCTGGTTTGAATCTATCAAGGAACGTTTTTTTAAACAAAGTGTTCAATTAAAAAATTTTTCGGCGCAATGCTTTTCTGCTTTTTTGTCGGTTTAGCTGCGACATCGCAAGTTTTTTTAAGTTAGGGCAGTTTTCACTAGAATTGAAAATTCTTAATTTTTTCCGGTAATTAGTAAATTTAATGAATCTGATTATTCCGAATTTCATTTGTTACGTTTTCTGGGTCATTTTTTTTTGTTTTTGGGAACTTGTAACACTATATTTATGTGATATTGCAAATGATATGAAGATCCGTTTTGCCTCTGCGGAACAAATATGTTTCAACAAAAAAAACTGTTAATAAAATAAAAAAATTAATCGTACCAAAAAAAAATCATTTTGAAAGAACATAAAATGTTTCAATTAGTTGCAGAATTAATTATTCGGCAACCTGTGCGTTGTTTCAGTAAACTTATTGACTTATTAAGACAGTACTTCAATGCTTCAGTTTCGCAACTTAACTCGCTATGTTTTGCATCTAATTTGCTCCAAAAAATTGAAACCGACTTATCTAATCACATTTCCGAAATTCGAATTTTTAGAAGTGATAAAAAATCGTTGCAAATTTGATTTTTTTTGTAAACGGAAAACAAAAGTAAACGTTGAGCTACTTTATGGTTTGTGCTTGCTCGCTCTTTTTTGACTTTTCAATAAAAATTGCTGACTGAGAAAGCTCACAGTTTGCTTAAACTATTACTTCGCAGCTAAATTTTCTTTTGTTTTGTTCTCAGTAGTTGTGATGATTTTATAGGAAGAATTAACTTTTTAATTTATAGACAGGTTCTTTTTTTCTTGAAAAAAAAGTTTTTTATTAATAGGACGGGAAAAAAATTGGCTAGTTTATATTTCAACTGAATGGCACCTGATCGAAATTAATCGGCACAGTTGATTATCGCTCTGTACCCAAAATATTTCAATCTTGCCCGGCTTCAAGCTTTAGTAGTGGAATAGGATATGATTTAGTATCCTATGATAGTTTTCAGTTTGCACAACAACTTTGGTTGTAACCTTTAAATTTTTGTTTGTTCAGTCAACTGTTGTGATCATATGTTTTTGTATTCTTAATTGGGTGTATGTGTTTTCGCAATTTTTACAATTTTTTTGTTAATGTTTCAATTTGAAAAATACAACAATTGAAAAACTGTTCTACTTTCTTTTTAACCGATATTGTCTTCAAAAGTACTGAGCAGAATATTGTTCAGATTACATTTGTGTTTTTGATCTAATCTGTCTCGGCTTCTGAAAAATTGAATAATATGCTTGGTATTTATGTCTTTCATTTACTTATTCAAGAAGTTTATCAGAGTTAGGGATTTTTGGTTCTTTCATCAATGCAGTTTACCAATGCTTTGATTGCGTGTCTTCGGAAGACTTTGATGAATAGCAGACAGGTTTTAAGAATTAGTCGTGGTTAGGGCAATTTTGTTGCTTATACAATTTTTAAAAATGGTTTTCCAACAATTTTGTAATCTGACTTTTTAATAACTTTTTTCTTTATTTACAGTTTTTGCATCGCAAGCGATGCAAAGCTCTGCTTCGCCTCTGTATCAAATTTTTGAAAAGTATCGTTATAACTGATTAACAGTCAATTATTATCAATTGTAATAGATGATTATGAATAATAGGGGATAGTTCCTAAAGCTTAAAAAATGTCACAAGCAGCTCAAAATTGTTCAAATTTGGATCATGGCATTTACATTGAAGCTAAATTTAAATACAATTAGTTTTGTCTTGTTTTATCAACGATTATTTTGTCCTCTATTTTTTCACATAAATCACTACAAGCCCTAAGGGGAGATTATCTGTTTTCAAAAAACATACAATGAAATTCGATTAAAAATTGTTAAGCCAGCTAACTTTGGTAATTATAATCTGTATTTTTGTTTGAAAAAAGATTATCTGCAGTTAACTGTTTATTTAGGCGTCAAGTTAAATCAGAACATCACTTTTGTTCGAAATTTCGTTTTGAACTGAATTTAAAACAGATAAGGCTGCTCGTATCTTCTGCATCAATTTAATCAAAATCAAATAGATCTGTTTGAATGTCTTAAAAAGGTCTTTAATCCTTCCAACTAACATTGCTGGAATCTGATCCAAACTGTATATTATTATTGGTTATAAATTAGATATTTTATCCCTATAAAGTATTGAAGACTAACCAATCATACTCCATCAAACTAACAACCCACTTATTTGTAAGTGCTGAAACTACTTGTAGTTTCAGCACCAGAGCATTCTGAATTTAACTTACAGCTTAGTTGCTTTTTCCAAGAGACCAACTCGTAACAAACCAGTATACTCTAATCTATTGAGACTAAGAGATATAAGAGTAAGATTAAGATCGGCATTAGACTAAGAAGTTGCACGATTCTATCCGGCCGAAAATAAGATAGCGTGACGAGCAGACGGTGTACCTTATCTGAAATTACTCTATGAGTTAGACCTTCCGTCCCAACTCATGATGAATATTTTCTTTTTGTTACAGTCAACTTAAACAGCATTATATGAATTGCGACCTTTTTGTGAAAAATTTGGTTTATTTGTGAAAACTTTTTACTAGTAAAATTTTATCTGACCAATTTTGCGATTGTTTTTGACATCACAGAAATCACTGAAGCCTTAAAGAATTAGAACCAAACATTATCAATTAACATTAACAATGAACCTCAACGTTCTTTTTGACAAATGCAATTTATGGTCAAGGTAACTTAAGTCGCGTCAATGGTTAAGATTTTCATCTATGCACGCAACACAGAGATCAATAGCGAGCTTCAAATTAAATTGGAACATGCCCCGAGCCGGAAAAATTAGCTGCAACAGCTACAAATGGCCCTTTTCTTTTTCCTCTCGTAATTTTTAATTGTTTTTCTCAAAATGAACAATTGTTATAAAAGTTAATCGACATTTGGAACGAAATGATGGACTTTGAAAAATTTGTGTACAAACACTGCTGTTCGCGAAAATTTCGCTGTTTGATTTTTTGATGGGGTTTTTGAAGAAATTGACGGAGTATCCGGAAAGATTTTAAAAAATCGTTTTTTTTTCCAATTTTTATACAAAATGGATTCCATGCTACGCACAAAAAAATTACATGCTTCGCTTCTAGTGTCTAGTATCGGTTGAAAAAGACTAAATAGATTGACTCACCTAATTTTTCAGCCGGATAAACTGGCAGCTTACATAATAGACTGTTTATTCAAATTATCCAGATAAAACAAATAAAATATAAAATTTGCTCATAATTTTTATCAGAGTAATTCTGGTGCAAATTATTTAGCAAAATTTGGGCCCAATAATTTACCCCAGCTGATTTTTTCCGGGCTTTTTTCTAAGTCAATAAAAGTTTACGCCACAGCTACTGGGTCGATTTCTAAGATAATTATATAAAAAATGAGCCTTTTATGTAGCCCATTGGGGTTAAATTTGAAAAAACTAAAAAAAAAAATTTGTGGTCATAATTTTTGCCTAAATCAACCCAAGATTACAAAAATTCGTTTTTTAATGTTTTTTGTTTCTTTTTGTCCGGATGATTTAAATAAACACTGCAGCACATCAAAATAAATTGCACGTGTATTTTCAGTAATAGAGCAAAATGGGAAATTTCAAGTCATGTTGAGTTAGCGAAACTCAAACACAGATTGAGTTTGTTTTCCGAGTTTTGTTGAACTCGTGAGACATTGAATGTTGTGAGATAGGTTTAAAAATGCGGTTAAAAATAACTCATGAAAAGCCAAATTTTGAGCGAAAAAAAAAACACATTTCAAAACGAAAACGTTCGAAATTTTTTTTCGTCTTCCTTATCCAAAAACTAGTTGAAACCGTTGTATTAAGTAATTGGAACTTGGAATGCCTAGCCCATAAACGAGATAAATGACCATATCTCGTATAAAGAGATAGTTTTAATTTTTTCTGTAGTCGTATTTTTTGTGTCTTTTCATACCAGATTTATGTAAATTGACATGATAGCTTTTTCACACGGTAGCTTCTCGGGTAGCTTTGTTTCACATGTGAATGTTGCTTGTTAACTAGCAAATGTTGACGAATTTTTTTATCATCATTTAAAAAGTATTGTTGCCCGGATCTCAAATTTTAAAACAATTTTTCACCTGTGATCACTTTTCGTAACGCTATTGGTGTTTAAAGTGCCAGTTTGGGATAATTAACGCGCGACATAATTCGTGTTAAAAACGCGTAGGCGGAGATTTATTCCGTCTTATAAATCGGTCGATAGTGAATTGAGACGTGCTAATTGGTCTACTGGATACTTTTTCATTGCGAAATACGTCATTTTGTTCTTAACGTATCGTGTGAGATGATTATCAATATTTTTCATTTTTTTCTGAAAATTTCATTTATTTTGTAAAATTGAATCCTACTCCACAGACCTTAAAACACAGCATAAATATTCAGGGTTTTGTCCTCATAGGGGCATTCTTATTATTATTATTAGGTCTTCTGTGAACTCACGCTGACATAGTTGAGACGTTTCTCCCTTGATAACGAGAAGTCGGTACTTTTGGCAAAGTATTCCATAGGAGACATGCCTCTGTCTCTCCCTTGTTTCAAGTAGAGACTACTCTGAGACTCACAGCAACTTCCTGAAAAAACATAGAATTGTAGAATAAATTCCGAACATTTCTTGGCTCAATTGTTCAAAAACTGGATTATCTAGTTGCTCTACTGAAAATCAGTTCGGTTTACCTACCGCATAAACGTGAAACTTCAAAATTGAATATATTTTTTAATATCTGTTATTAAAAGTTTGAGTTGATTAAAATGCATTTTGGGTATTTAGCGTTGCTTAAAGATTAAGCGAAAATTTAAATTGATGGCAAATTTTTTTTTCGAGAAGTGGTGACTTTAAAAACTCAAAAAAAAAAACAAATGGAAAGACAAATTCTAACCAAGCTCGCTATCTTGTAGTGAAAACCAATTAAATGACTTAAAGCTCCTCCAAGCGAGTATTCGGAACACTTCGTGTGCCCTGCTGTCCCATCTATAGTCTCTCTGATTCGATTCAACCAACAGACCATGATAACAAAAGTTGGAGCTAGAACATAAATCATAATTATAGCATAGTGGCAAGGTACTTGCAATGAGAACATGAAATTGATCCACTGCATGAAAATGATAGTGTGCGAGCTGGCACTTGACCTCTGGCTCCCAAACTACAACAGAAGCACTGTTTTGGCTGAATTAATGTGTTTCATACGGCTTTTAAACTGCTTACGGCTCTAAATTATTTTTGGTTCGTCAAAAACAGCTACAGAAGGAGCTTTCACTATTGGGAATTTATACACCTCAATGATGAGCATAATGTCCCATTCTTGCGCCACTGCTTTAGATCTTTTATGAGTCTCCTCCTAAATTAACCTCGCCGCACAAAATTGAATCAAAATTGACAAAACTGCTTGTATCAGGGCGAAGCCCTGAATGTTCCGACTGCCCCTTAAGGTCTGTGGAGCAGTAAAACATGCAAAAATTAAATAAAATAATATAAAACAAAAACACTTTTTTTAAATTTTTTTTGTGAAAATCATCTCCCCAGGCGCGACATAAAGTTTGTGCGCGTCAATCTCCACAATTCGTAAAAAAACGGTTTTTAAACACTTGAATTAATGAGCATTTTCTCGGCAAAATAACTCCGGAAATTTGAAGATATAATTTTTAACAAACTTTTTCATCGGTAACATCAGTAACATCGGCCCTAAAAAACTGCATAACTCAAAGCAAGCTGCAAAAATGGCCAGTATTTGTCCTTGAGACAAATTGCTCTTTTTAAAGGTCAGCCGTAATCAAAGCTGAACCAAATTAGAGCGAAAAGACGGTTAAAATAGGTTTTGAGGGGGTTCGAACCTGGTTACGGTCGTCTCATCAAGTTTGGGGCATATTTGAGTTCTAGAAAGGAAATGACCTAGTCGGGATTCGAACCGGCGCCGAACCCGCCGGGACGCACCCTGTATACGCTTGGCTACTGTCCCTATATGCATTTACATTTTGGTTCATTTTTATACTCTCATGCATTTGCGCTGCAACATCCTCCACCCCTAAACAAGGAAGAACGGGAGCGAGCTTTACGGTCAGGCGGGTCAGTTCGCTCCTAACGGTCTTTATGTCGGCGGATCTCGCGCATCCGTCCTTGCCATAGTGCAGTCTTAGGATACGTGCGAGTGGATAATGTCCACGTGGAGTGCCAGGCTCTATGACCCAAACCAAGTCGCCGGCTTTCAACTTAACGTCTGACTGGTTGTGCCACTTTGCCCTCCTATTGAAGGAAGGAACGTATTCCCGCAATAGGAGGTATTCCACCGTGTCCATATTGCGTTAGCGTGTAATTGCGCTCTGGCGAACCGCTTCTTATGGTCGAAGTTTTCTTCGAAGCTTAGCGACGGAAAACTCGCTGCGTGTTGACCAAGGATAAAATGATTCGGGGTCAACGCCTCTAAATCTAGCGGATTGGAACTAATGGCTGTTATCGGTCTAGCGTTAAGTGATTGCTCAATTAGGCACAGCGTGGTTCTTAGAACCTCCTCAGTTACTCTTCTATTGCCTAGGATGTCATACAAAACGCGCTTGACACTCCGAACTAATCGCTCCCAGGAGCCACCATGGTGCGGTGCGCTGGGTAAATTGAATTTCCACTTGATCCCATTCTGAACAAAAACAGCGGGTGCGAGCTTGTTCCAACTCTCAACGCAAGCTAAGAGCTCATTCTGAGCGCCAGCAAAGTTCGTGCCGTTGTCGGACATGATGGTAGTCGGAGTACCGCGACGTGCAATAAACCTCTCCACGCCCATCACACAAGAGCTTGTGTCGAGCTAGGGGACCACTTCAATGTGCACCGCTCTAGCGGCGAGACAGGTGAACAAAAAATCCCCCCTTTTTTCCGTACTTCTCCGGTTTGGAACTAGGAACAGCCCAAAGTAGTCGACACCTGTGTTAGAGAAAGGAGGTTGCTTGTAACCCAGCATTCATTGGGCAGATCAGTCATAATATGAGTTACGGTTTGCGCTTTGCGTTTTCGGCACGCAACGCAAGTATTTTCAATGTTTCCTAGCAACCATCGCAAATTTAACACAACTTATGTCAAATTAACCACCGCACGCGTGTAATCCAAGCCTTGATGGAATTTCCTAAAGTGTAAGTGTTTAACCAATAACTGAACAACCGCGTGACGTGCATCAAGTATAATCGGATGCTTGCTATCGAAATCGGAATTAACCAAGCGGCTGATGCGCCCAGTCGAGCGAAGGATGCCAGCTGGTCCAATGAACGGCGAATCCTTGGCGATCCGACTATTCTTCGTGATAACTCTACCGGATCTTAGTAGTTTTAGCTCACTAGGGAATGTTTCACCCTGGGACAGGTAAATAGGCTTCTGTTCAGCGATATCCATTTCACACGGGTCTGTAATTTCTAATATACTCGAACGGAAATGTTTATGGGATGGCAGCCATCTTATCAAAAATGCTACTGTGCGTTTGTATTTTACAATTGAATTGAATCTCTCCCATTTTTCGAATGGAAGATTTTTCTCTGTCAAAACATCGACGACAAAATTTGACGAATCTTCCAGACAAATGTCGATATCACATGAAGGTCCTTTGAGTCTTATTTTATCAATAACCCTTAAATCGGGCTTGTACGGCCAATCAGTTGTCCTCAGTATACTAGGGCCATTAACCCAGCTGCTTTCCTTGAGGGCTTCCGAAGAAATCCCTCGTGTACCGGTATCAGCTGGGTTATCACCGCTAGGTATGTGATGCCACTGATCAGTGGTGGTAGACTCCAGAATCTCACCAGTGCGATTACTAACAAAAACGGGTAGTTTATTACAGGAGTTAAGCCACTGAAGAACAGTGGCACTATCTGTCCACATGAAAATATCCGTAACTTTGAAAGAAAGGCTTTTCAAATTTTCTTCTTTTAAGCGGGTTGCAAGAAGAGCCGCTTGAAGCTCTAACTTTGGAATAAATAGCGCTTTCATAGGCGCAACGCGGGCTTTGCCAAACACAAAGGGTAATTCGGTCTGTTGCGGGCTAGCAAGTCGCGCACGAAGGAAAGCGACAGGAAAGAAAACATCCTGCGAACTATCACCGAACATGTGAAGTTCTATTCGGTCGAAAGTGTCAGTGAAATAGCTGCGAGGTATTGTCAGGGAACCTAACAAATGAAGTCCTGAGTGCCACTCAAGGAACTAATTTTTTTTATTTCCTCTTGCAGATCATCGTCCCATTTTTGACCGCTGATTCGCCATATATCTTTTAATAGAAGGCGAGCCTTCACAGTATACGGAGCCACTAACCCAATTGGATCACAAACAGAGGAAACAAAACTCAACAAGGTACGCTGGATAATTGCTTTGTCTAGTGGACGATCAACCCCTCTACTAACGACTAAGGTATCTTTTACGTGATCCCACTTAAGACCGAGAACATGCGACGACTGGTCTGGACTCGTACAAATATCTTTAACAGAGGAATTGGACTCACGGTTGTCCGGATCAAGAGCGGTTGTTACGTCGGGCACGTTGCTGACAAGTTTGGTCAGATGAAACCCACCTAGTTTAAGCAACGAGACTAAACCCCTACCTAATTTCAAGGCGTCATCTCTGTTTTGAAAAGAATCCAGATAATCATCCATATAAAACTTCTGGACAACAGACGAAGCAGCTTCGGGGTACTCAGCTTGATTATCCGATGCAGTCTTCTGCAAAGCAAAATTCGCACAAGTCGGCGAGTCACGAGCACTAAAATTGTGACGTGTATATTGGTGAACTATCACATTTGATGTGGGGTCCTCCCGCCATGAAAAACGAAGAGAAGGTTGATCTTCTTCACGGACTCCAACCTGTAAAAACATCCTTTCAATGTCAGCTGAAAAGGCGTATTTATGCTGACGGAATCTTAAAAGTTCAAAATTGAGGTTTTGAAGGAGATCCGGGCCAACCAACAGAGATTTGTTCAAAGAAGCGCCATGACACTTCGATACCCCATTGAGGACTCGGCGCGCCTTACCGAGTTTATTCAGGCTCAACACCAGGTGATGCGGGAGATACCACTCACGATCGGCTCGTGATTTGGGATCGTGTGCCTCAACGGATATGACATATCCTTTTTGTATATCTTCTCTAACTGTTTCGGCGTATTTTTCACGGAGCGACGGATCCTTTTCTAGCCTCCTTTCCAAAGAATTTATTTGAGCTAAGGAGGAAAAATAGTTATTCGGTAAAGTACTTTCTTTATTGTTCCAAAGCAATGGTACAATGTACCTCTCACCATCGTAAAAGGTGTCATTTTCAAAACGAACAAAGCGCGTTTGTCGGCCGCGGAACGGGCATCTACCTGCTTGAAGGCTCCATATGACTCCAACTTATACAGAGTTTTAATTTGGTCCGCAAGAGACATGTCTTTGACAACACACTTAAAGCAAGACGATTTCGACTTAAAGGACGGCGATAACAGACCACTTAAAACCCAACCTATCGGAAGGCGTACGGCGCACGGTGAAAGAGAGTCCTTCCCAAGAAGGTACTCAACGGGTCTTATGGCATGGTAGAAATCCTGTCCAATAATTATTTCGACTTCCTCATACTTATAATGTATAGGTTTTATAGGTTTTACCGTAATTCAGGAATACTTATGCTATCCGATCCAAAGCGAATATGATCCTTAACATAAGCTCGAAAAGAAAACGAAAATTTACTATTATTCGTTTCGGTGGAAACTTGAAAACTTACTTGTTGAGTTTTCATCAAACTCGCGGAATTGAATCCATTTATGGTGAGGTTAACGGGAGTGCCAACCAAATGGAGGCGTTTTACGAGATCAGCGGATACCCATGAGTGCGTGGAAGCACTATCGCAAAGAACTAGGGCATTAGTAATCGTCGCATCCGAAGAGACGGCGAGTAATGCAACTGGCTGGAGGCCTTTAGTTGACTCCTGGCTATGAATATCGCCGACGGCAACGTTAGTCGATACATGTTTAGTGTTTGCGTTACCTGATGCCGGGGAACTTTTAGTATCCTTAGGAGGAAAAATTTTCTCAG